TGTAAATGTATATGATTCTATGTGTAAAGGGCTTTTGTGTTTTGATGTAGTGTTAGGGATGTGAGTAGGTTTAGGTCACATTTTCTTTTCTCTTAATGAACTGTATTTTACCATCTTTTAGAACTATTTGGTTTATATAATTTCTGCCACCACCATTCATATTGTTGTGGTTGTTAGTAACATGGATGGCACTATTGCCACCTGTGATTTACATCAATGTCAGAACAAGTTCATAGCTATTTATTGATGTTGCTGTAGGCATCTGCTGATCTTGTCATTCCTTTTTGTGGTAATTAGTATTGTAGGTGCCATATTAGGCACCTGGTATTTATTTTAATGGTATATATTGTTTACTGCTTTTTTTGCTTTTGTTTCCCGTTTCTGTGAGGTGTACTACCAGTTCACAGGGTAGAGACTCTGCTGCCGAACTACACCGAAAACCCAGCCAAAAGAAACTGCACCTGGGTCCACACACTAACTATACTCAAACTTCAATAATACCTTAATACAAATAACAGGGGAGACAAAAACCCCTAAGGAGAGGTCCTTAGGTCCTCCTCATGAACATTCACTTCTACAGCAAAAACAGAATGAACCACAAAGACTATGGGCACCACAACTATGAGGGGTCTCAATGTATATTGTTTCTATATCCCTTTGGAATATAGTATTGTTAACTGAGGAAGAGCAGGTGTACCTCATACACCTTGCTGGATACAAAACTTGTTGAAAAAAAATCCCATTCTTTTTAAAAATACAGTTTTGGTTGTATATGAACACAATACTTTTATTTTTATGTGGTGCTGATGATTGAACCCATTGCTTCACATGTACTAGGCAAGCACTCTACCACTGTGCTACAATCTCAGCCCATGAATCCCATTCTTGTGAGACCCATAGGGAAAGTGGGATCCTCAAACTCTGACACAGCACATGCTGTATTGAAATATACTCATAATCACCAAAGAACTAGCAGGAAAACTATACTATACAACCCACTTGGAAATGAATTGAAAAATTCATAAATACCTGGTATCCCAGAGAGCTTTACCAAGAGAAGTGTGTGTCCTAAAAACATACACATAACCATAGAAGAGAAGTTCATCTCAACAGATGCACAAAACTCAGCACAGGAATACAAGAAATAGGAAAAATAAGGTAACTTGATACCTCCTAAAGTTCTTAATTTAGGACAACTGACTTCAAATACATCTAAGTGGATGAAATATCAATAAAGAATTCAAAAGGATGAATACAAAATGATCAAGGAATTCCCAGAGACCACAGAAAAACAACTGAATGAATTAAGGAAGTTAATATAGGATATCGAGAAATCCAATAAGAACAAGCCACTGAAAAAGAACCAAAGAGAAATCTTGGAAAAGATACTACATGTGGGGTCTCTGATGCCCTTATGGCTGTGGCATGCCTGGTGCCTGGGAATGTTTCTGTGCAAAGTTGCAGGTTGCCTATGCTGTGGTAATGCTTTCCATGAGGAGATTCTGCTAGAGTCCTGTCAGCCTTGACCTTGCTCAGGCACATAGCTTCTGGGAATAGAGGAACTTTCTTTTTCTTTTTAAAATTATTTTTTAGTTGTAGTTTGACAAAATACCTCTATTTTATTTATCCATTTCTATGTGGTGCGCAGGATCGAATCCAGCGTCCCACATGTGCTAGGTGAGTGCTCCACCACTGAACCACAACCTTAACCTCAGAGGAACTTTCTTGCTAGACAATCACAATGTTTCACCAGCTCCTGAACCTGCCCTCATAACAGTAACTTTAAAAAATGGACTCTCTTGAGAGCTACACAAAGCTCCTAACATTGCACATTGCAACTGAAGAATACAACTATGAAAAAGTCATAATGTTGTTAGCCTTGTAACTTTCCTGAATAAAGAATAATGCATAATGCTTGTATAGTCTTTAACCAGATGAGACATATATAAATGAAGATTGCTGACGTAACTCTTTAGACCTGCTTCTTTATCAGAGAGCAGCACTTCACCTGACCCCAGCTTTATCTTCAAAAACATCTAAATGTGAGTCTTTATTTTTCTTATCTTCTTGCGCCCCTCATAGAAACCTGCTAGTTGGGCTGTGCTTTCACGACAACAATAAATCAAAATAAAATGTTCAGTTGAAAGTCACTCTTAATAGAGTACACCATGTAGAAGAATCTCAAAGCTGGAAGACAAACTGGCCATCCTTGAACATTCAGATAGTATGAAAAGAAAGAAAGAAAAACAAAGAAAAGAATCATGACCAGAATATACAAGTACTCTCGCACAAAATTAAGAAACCAAATTTAAGAGTCACTGAGATCAAAGAGTGTTTATGAACTCTAGGCTAATGGTATGGATAACTTTTTCAGGGAAATAAAAGAAAATTTTGCAAATCCTGGGAATGAGATGGACATCCAGATATAGAAGGTATTCAGAACCCAACATAGACAAGATGAACTAAGAATCTCCACAACACATTATACTTACAATACCTAATATTTAGAACAAGGACAGAATTCTAAAAGTCTCAAGAGAAAAATATCAGGTCACATGTAGAAGTAAGCCAATCAGAATTATTTCTGATTTCTCAGCACACTCTCTAAAATCCAGGAGGGCTTGGAACACATCATCAACACATCATTAATGAACATTGTTATGGCAAAGCTATCCTCCAGAATTGCTAATGAAATAAAAACATTCAAAGATAAGCAAAAAATAAAAGAAAATTCAGGACTACTAAGCCAGGACTATAGAAAATATAAAAAAATACTACATACAGAAGGAAGAATCAAAAACAAATTCCAAGTATCACAAATGAACAAATCTCATTTGAAGAATAAGTAACCAAAGGCCAAATGTTTATTTATAATAAACATTATAAATAAGTCAAAATGACAGAAATTTATAAACATGTCTCTAAAATGATACTGAATAGCCAGGCACAGTGAAGCATGCCTGTAATCCCAGCTAGAGGAAGGAGATTCTGAGTTCAAAGTGAGCCCAGCAATTTAGTGAGGCCCTAAGCAACTTAGCAAGACCCTGTTTCAAAATAAAATATAAAAAGGGCTGGGGTTGTGACTCAGTGTTTGAGTGTACCAGGGTTCAATCCCCAGTATAAACAAACAAACAAATAAATAAATAACACTGTATATGAAGGGTCTAAATTCTCCAATTAAAGACATAGGCAGGAATAATGGATTAATAAACAAAACCCAACTATATAGAGGCAGATAGCCACAGGCTGAAAGTGAAATGATAGAAACTGATTATAATATGCAAATGGAGCCCCCAAACAAGCAGGATTAGCTACTGTCACATTTGACAAAGCAGACTTCAAACTAAAATTAATCTGATAAAGAAATCAGGAGAATGATTACATTCACAATAGCATCAAAACAAAACAAAACAAAATACCTAGGAATACATGTATTCAAGGTGATGAAGGACTTCTGCAATAAAAACTATGGAACACTGAAGAAACTGAAGAAGATACTAGAATATGGAAAGAACTCCCATGTCCATGGATATAAGAATATTGTTAATATGGCCATGTTACCAAAAGTAATATACAGATAAAAGAAACTTTGCAACTCCTCGAAGAAAATAGGGTGAACATGCCAACATATAGGGAAAAGCAACAATTTCCTCAGTGAGATTCCTAAAGCTCAGAGGAAATAATACCAGGACTTATAAAAATGGATGATGCCAAATTACAAAAGCTTCTGCACAGCAAAGGAAACAATTCAGAATGTGAATAGAGAACCTACAGAAAGGGAAAAAATCTGCTAACTACTAACATCCACAATATATATATATATATAAAAAATTACCACCCAGCAGGGCATGCCTGCAGTTCACCTAAGTGAGCCTGTAATAACAGCAACTTGGAAGGCTTAGATAGGAAGATTGCAAGTTTAAGGCCACCCTCAGCAATTTAGTGAGATGTTGTCTCAAAAATAGAAAGGGGTAGGGATGTAGCTCAGTGGTAAGGTGCCCCTGAGTGCAATCCCCAGTACTGAAAAATATATAATTAAGTAACCCCCCCCAAACAAAACAAAAACAAGTTGCTACACACAAAAAATCCCCAATTAATAAATGGGCCACTTAACTAAACAGTCACTTCTCAAAAGAAGAAATAAAAACATGTTCAACATCTTTAGCAATTAGGGAAATGCAAATCAAATTAGGAAAATGCAAATCACACTTAGAATGGCAACCACTGAGAATGCTAACATAAAAAATTGCTGGAGAGGATATGGGGAGAAAGGAGCAGTTTTACCCTACTGGTGGAATTTTAAGTTAGGACAACCATTATAGAAATCAATATGGAGGTTCCTCAAAAGACTTGGAATGGAACCACCATATAACCCATCTATATAACTCCTTGGTATCCTAAAGAATTAAAGTCATCATATTATAATGATACATGCCCAACAACGTTTACAGCAAGGTGTCCTTCATGAATGAATGGATGAAGAAAATGTGGTACATATACACAATGAAATTTTGTTCAGCTATAAAGAAGAAATTATGCCATTTGTGGGAAAATAGATGGAACTTGAGAGCATTATGTTAAGTGAAATAAGCCAATCTCAGAAAGTTAAGGGTTGAATGTTTTCTCTCATATGTGGAGAGGAAAAAGGAAAAGGAAATGTAGGTGGGAGAATCTCACAAAAATTATAGGGAGACTAGTAAAGTAGAGAAAAGGAATGGGGGTGGGGGAAGATGAAGGGAAAGGGGAAATTCTGGGCAATAATATGAATCAGATCATATGGTTATATTGTGTACATGTATAACTATGTAACAATGAACCCTCATATTATGTATAATTATAATAAAAATATGTAAAATATTTAAAATCTAAAATATAAATAAATACAATAAGCATAAACTCATTTTTCTTTCTTTTTTTTTAGTTAAAGGGAAAGAAAATCCCAATTTAAATTAAGTATTTTGTAGAAACATTTTTCCAGGAAAATAACAGGGATAGCTATCAACTGTGCAAACTCATAGGCAATGGTTTATTCCTTCAGGATTTTATGAGGTTTAAATGAGATAATTCTTACACTGCTCCTTAGCACAGGCTATTATGTAACCATTTAAAAAAAGTTGGTATTTAACATTATTATAATCACCCACTGGTCATGTATTATTTGTATTCATCAAGTTCACCCAGATTCTTTAAAAATATGCATTACTAAAATAATGTTTTATTTTACATTCTTCAAAGTCCAGAATTTACACAAATGCTTCAATTCTAGTCTTGTAAATTTGAACAATTTAGTTAAAATTATACATAATAATGAATTATCACTTTTTTTATAATTAATAAAGTCAAATAACTTGATTTCATAATCATTAATGCAATATACTTTTGTTGTTAAGTCTCACTTGGAATTTAAAAAGTATTTAAAAATGGAAGCAAATTTAATAGAAAAAAGAAAGAATTCTTGTTTGTTTTAACAAAATTTATTATGCAGTAATTATAAAGATTAAAGACTCTTCCATCTCAAAAAAAATAACTGCTATAATTACACACATATTATAGTACCTTATAGAGTGATTCCAATAAATATGACAGGAAATACAGTGGATTTTTAAATTGGAAAACAAATACTTTCTCATTCACAGTGTTTGACACAGGAAAGCCTGTTCACAAAAGGATGTGTATAAAGTCATGCTCTTAGTAACAGTCCACACAGAGCTGTGTCAACACAATTCTTTCAGAACGTGAAGTACCGGGCAAACCACTCCTGGCGCTGGGGATCTGGAGAAGCCACCGGGGAAGCTTCACTCTGAGGAGGACTGAATTCACAAAAAGAGAGAATGTAACCCAACATTAAGAGGTTTTGCAAAATAAAGGGAAAAAGCACATAAAATATCAATGTAGATTTTCCCAACTGGTTCCCCATGTTAGAAGCTATGTTTTAATGACTTGCTACTTCCTCTACACTATGATCAATTCTCCACTCATGAGAGCACCAGAGTGCATCAGTCAGTTAAGGAGGAGCCCCATCACAAATATTAAAAATCAAAAAAACAAAACAATTGAGAAAAATAATGTCACCTTTGAAAAAAATTTTCTGGAAAAATTGTGGGAATTAAGAGAGAATAAAATAACATTCTCTTTGAGTACCTTTCCCCTTTATTTAATTAAAATTTCAGAATCTGACAAAAACATTTGATTTTCACAGATATGTCCTTATATATAATTGAATTAAAGTAACTAAGTCAAGGTATAGTATTTTTTACTATTTGCATATTTATATTAGACTTTCATTTCATAATTCTATAAGCAGATACTCCAAGAAAAGGAGTGCATTAAAAATAGAATTTCTCCTTTGTCTTCAAAGTTACATAATTTATACTATCTTAATTTTAACTAAAGATTCTTCAGGTTACTTGAGAAAAAAAAAGAATCCCTACCGTCTTTGGGGGAAATTACAAGGCACGCAACAATGTGTAATGGAAACTCCAGTAGTCATGTTCCTTGAGCTCATGCACATGCATCTTACTGATACCTGAACGTACCCATGCACAAAGGAAAATAAGCAACACAAAGTATTTAGCAGAAGTCACATTCAGAGATGTTATTTGACTATTTTTCACTATTTAAAATTAGTCATTAACTACATCATAAATCACTTAGTTTTAAAGAAAACTTTTCTACTTGTAAGACTCTTATTAGTGGTACTACCTGACATTTACAGTCTTTAAATTTTAAAATTATAAAAATAGAAAATATTGAACTTAAAGGAGCTTTAAAAAAGCTGTAGTAAGGTGAGCATAAAACAAATGCTTTTTTCTGCCTTTATCTAATGGCTTGATAGCTGCACTTCACGTAAAAATTAATTAATTAATACATTTAATCAATAGTTCTACAGAGATTCATATACAAAAAGTCTGGTAAACAGGTAAGAAAAAACATCAGAAACAAAGCCAACTAATAAAAATTATTTTAAAGTTCTGCAATAAGGATAGATTATTAATAAAAAACTGGTGACAATACTAAAAATGAAGCAAATTCATCCATAAATATTAAAATGTTAAACACGTGAATTACATGAACACCTCTTCCATCATTTGAAAATGGATTGACAATAAAATAAAAAAAAATTCTTTGAACAGAATAAAAAGGGAGTTCACTATAGAGGTGATATAAATATTTTAAAAATATTTCACAGTAATATTTCTTAGGATGTTCCTAGAGTAGTGGATTTCTGTAATGTAAGAAGATAAATTTTCTCAAGTTAAAAAAGAAAAGAAAAAAAATAACTGGTGAGACAGGGCTCACCTCAAAAATGTCTTGGGCTCTTTGGGTGGCACTGGCTGTGGAAGTGGTTTGCTGCTGTTGAACTCAATATCGTGGACTGGAGAGTTAGGAATGGGATCCAGGCGGTTAGGATGTCCATTGCCCACTCCACTGGATTCCAGAGCACTTAGATTGGGAACACTCACAAACCTGTTTGTTGGTGATTTATCATTCTTCTTCTTTTGCTGTTTTAAAAATAATACATGTGAGGACAGTCCCTGCATAAGGACAAATGAGAAAATAAGAACAGTACAACAGTAGAAGATGTAAATTTGTCATGGGAAAATTTTGGAAGCTTTGTATGTATTAAATTAGGATGTTAAAAATTAACCAGTGTTACCCAAAGTGTGGTCTGGGGATCCTTAGAAGTGTTATCTACATGGAATCCTCAAAGACAGACATGCTACCAGGACAGAAAGAATGAGGTAGAAACATTCAGGAGTGGTTCATTCCTAATTGTGAACCACTAATTGTGAAATTAGGGGAGGAGAAGGATGTGGAAAGGAAAGAGAATATTGGAAGGAAAAGGGAAACAAGTTGGGGAAAGAGTAGGTCTTGCAGATATCATCAGGTTACATGGATTTAGGCTAAAATTAGGAGAAGGAATAAAGTCAAAAATAATCTTAAAAGAGAAGTCCATGAACTTTAATCATCTGTCAAAGGGAGGCAGTTCTTGCCTGGAAAATAAAAAGGAGTGAGAAAATACTTGGTAATGTAGTTTGAAACAAATCTCACATTTCTATTTAAGACCTAAACCTTAGAGAGATAATTTGGTTTTAAATTCACTGTGACAGCTTTCTCAGGAAAGAAAATTAAATCTGTAAAACAGTTTAATTTCTCAATTAATTGGCAGAAGCTTTGGCTGGCTCATAATTTTTTTTTTAATTTAAAGTTTAGAAAACAAAAGTAATCAATGTTTTTCCCCCCTTTTTTTGTTTTTTCAGGAGCACTTGATCACTGAGCCACATCCCCAGCCCTATTTTGTATTTTGCTAGAGATAGGGTTTCCTCCAAGTTGCTTAGCACCTCGCTGTTGCTGAGGCTGGCTTTGAACCTGTGATCCTCGTGTCTCAGCCTCCCAAGCCAATAGGATCACAGGCGTGCACCACCACGCCCAGCAGTCAATGTTTCTCTTACATAAAATTTTAATCAGTCTTTAAAATTAATAGAGATAAAAAGAACACATTTGCAGACCTAGCAGCTTGCAAATCATTATCTTTTAGTCTCAAAATATTTTATTCATACTTCTAGAATCAATGAGTATAATATTGTTATGTAGAATAAAAACTACGTGTAGAGCATTTATCTGGCAAGTATAAGGGGCTAGGTTCAATCCTTAGCACCACATGCAAATAAATATATAAAGGTTTTATGTCCATCTACAACTAAAAAAATTTTAAAAGATATTTAGAATATTTTTACTTTTTAATAATTAGATGTATGCTAATTAAATTTATGGTTTTCTCTCAAAATGACTTGAGTTTGAAAAAAATACAATTAGGGTACACAATAGTACTTTTCTTTCACTTATTATAAAGTAATTTTCTCACTACCTAGACATTTTCCTTTGTGTCATATTCTGTGATTTACAGATTGTATGACAAGGAGGCTATTTTAACATTATTGTTAAAAAAAAAAGAAGGAAGAGTAATACCTTCTTCAGAACTATTTGGGAAAACTGAAGTCATTGTTAGGGATCAAATGTAGCTGAGAAGTTCTTATAAATCTATCTTGCATTTTCTTATTCTAATCACCAGAGGGCATACTAAGTACTCTATTTTTAAGAAATCAAAAGCATCCTTTGTGAAGCTCTACAGTAATGGTTTTATAGTTGAAAATTTTCATTCCAATAAAATAACAAATGAAAACATATTTCTAATGTCTTAATTCATCAAGTCTTATAATTTTGATTTACAACTAAAAAGGTTATATAATCCTAAATTATCACTTTAAAAATAATTCTATTCATCCATCCACCTGTTAATTTCTTCAGAACTGTCTATATAATTTCTTAAGTCTCTACTTTAGTCATTTCATTGCACAAAACACTTTTAAGTTCAAAGTTTGAAGCATTTTAACTTATAAAAAGAAGTATGGGTTCAGTGTTCTTAACAGAGAAGTTTTAAGAGCTTTGGAAGCAAAATTTGTGAGTAAGGGCCTACTAGAAATTATCATGATGAAAAACTTAATAAAATATTTAAGAAAAAATAACTTTATCATTAGCACTTTTATTTATTCTACTACTGACTTCTCCCCAAAGATTCATAACCCCTGGGAAGATGATACACATTTACTTATTCATCACTTGCTTTATTTCCAGAATAATATATGGTGAATTGACAAAAATATGTTGAAATTTTGCAACTAAGCAAATATTCATTGAATACCCACGTAGTCAAAGCACTATAATCAGAGGCATGGAAACTGGGGTAAAAGAAAGTATAAGATCTAGCCATGTCCATTTCAAGGCTCTTCTATATGTCTTAGGAGAGTAATAAAGTATGAGAATAAGCTATATTTAATTTTGATACTCAAGAAGTAAAGTCCTTTTCTTTCTTTTTTTTAAAAAAATTATTTAGTTGTAGATGAACACACAGTATCTATATTTATTTTATGTGGTGCTAAGGATTGAACCCAGTGCCTCACACATGTGAGACAAGTGCTCAGCCCACTAAAGTCCTTTTCTGGACAACAAAAATAAATTCCATTAAGACTGTAGGCTTTTTTTAAAAATATTTTTTTTAGTTGTAGATGGACACAATATCTTTATTTTTATTTATTTATTTTTATGTGGTGCTGAGGATTGAACCCAGGGCCTCACATGTGAGAGGCAAGTGCTATACCACTGAGTTACAATCCCAGCCCAAGACTGTAGGCTTTAAGCTAGGGATAGCAATGGGTCTCCAAGATTGGAGTGTCTTTCTGGACCCCATGAAGGATTGTGATCAGTAAGGATAAGACAAGAAATCTACAAAAGGAGAGTTAGTAGTTTTTTTTCCCTTTGGAAATACAAAAAACAAAAAGATAGAACCAAGGTTTTATTAGTAAAATATTTTAAGGCATATCAAATAAATATTAAACAGTTTCATTCTGAAACTAATAAAGAACTCATAAATTCTGGTGCCAGATTATTAAATTAAAAAACATTTTTGTGATTTTTATTCTTTGCCTCTCCAAATAATTTAGTAAATTTTTAATCAAGTGTAAGTCATGCCCCTATTTTACAGTGTTTATAGTACATACCTTAGCCAATGGATTAATAACACCAACAGTAGGACTTGAGTTAAACACTTTGTTGAAGTTAGTTTCTCGATTGACTAATTCCAGCTGATAAAATTTATTATCCTCCTGTGCAAAAGAATTATAAACATCTTTTCAACGTTTTCTGTTGAGTATTTAGAAACTTAAATGTATAAATGCTGTTTTACAGTCTTACAGAACTATGGTGTTCATGAGGGTGAAACAATCCTTGGCTGCATTTCTGGCCCTGCTAGTGACTGACTGTGTTACTTTGGAAAGTTTCTTTATTCTTTGATGCATGAAACCTACCCTTCTGTGAAGATAAATTATGCTTCTGTAATACCCCTCCTAAGTAAGAACTGGAAAACCAACAGCTACTTTATGGACCATAAAATATATTTATCAAAACTGGTAATTGCATGTGTGAAAAGATAGTAATTTTCCATGAGTCTAAAGCTACCAGATAGAGATATCTATGAAGCCTGTGCTCATGTGTATGCTGCTTACATCACTGGGTGATTGGTGGATAGAAACAGTGTACCACACTATTTACCCAAGGCCTCCTCCCAAGTTCCATCTATGGAACCTAATCTACCTTCTTGTTTTCAGTGGTACTTCTAGATCCAGAAAACATCCAGGATGAGTTTCCTAAATTCTAACACACACACACACACACACACACACACACACACA